CACACACACCACAATATACATCAAGTGGTCTTGAGGAACACCCCATCTCCCAGTGTGCACATGTAGAGCAGATGGTATAAGCACTTTCTGTTATCCTGGTTCATTGTGGAGTTTAGGTAAGTATACCCTGGTAGGCAACAACAGCCACCAGGTGGGATCCTATATAAGGAAAAGGGGGCTTATAAAGAGATATAGTATATATTATTCTCAAAGACGGTGAAGTGACTGAAGAATGGTGACCTGTGGAATCCAAAAAACCATCAGGAAATAAACAATCAGAAGTTGTAGAGTAGGAGATGAATGTGTGGAGAGAATCTACATGCCTACTTGGAGGAGTTCATCTAAGGATCATCAGAGAAGAGATGTAAGAGAATGTAAAAGTTGATGAATGGAATGCAAAGAAAAGTGAAACAGACTGTGAGCATCCATAATCAGAGATGAATATGTCAATGGAGGAGTTGATGGCCCATCCCATAAGGGAAGAAGGAAAGAGGTCCATGGAAAAACAGGGACAGACAAAAGCAGGGACCCTTAAAGGGAAAAGGCCATTATAAGGCACACTGAACAGGACACAGGAGTTGAGCTGGGTGCAAATGGTCCAATAGCCAAGAGACAGAAGGAAGGGAGATAGGAGAGAAGTATAGTGTACCTCCTGACAGTTGAAGCCCGAGGAAGAAAGGATTGGTCTGGAGAGAGGAAAAAATAAGTGCAGTGAAAGAAGGTGTGGGAAGGATCTAAAGGAAGGACATCAGAACAACAATAATCAAATGGGTCTTGTAGGAGATTATACAAAACCTCATTAAGGTCACAGTCAGGCAAGGAGAACTGAGGAGAATGAAGAGGGTGGAGGAAGAATCACCTCTTTGTACCGGGAAAAGAGAAAGGCCATGGACAGGCCCATTTTACAACCAGCAAAGGCTAAAACAAAGAATCTATCAACAAACAGTTGGATAAGAAAGGAAGAAAAGAGGTGTATAGAATTACTGCCAGAAAGAAAAGGGTGGCAGAAGGAGCAATTACAAAAGACCCATCAAAGATGGTGATAGACAAATACAGTGGAATGACGATGAGAATGCGAGGATAATAATGCCAAATTTGTGGAAATAACAGCGTGATAAGTGACAGTTGGGCAAATTCCATGCATGAGGATGGAGAGAGAAGATCCATCTATGAAGAGAGGAAATGTGAGAATGAGAAGCAAGAGAGAGAAGGGATAGTGGGAAGAGGAATGGGGGTCTGAATGTCAAGTGAACCAAGGTTAAGGCAGTCAAAGAGGTACCAAGAATAGGGCCTAAAAAGGAGAGTTGTGTGTAAGTTCGAAGCCCAGGAGGCGAGAAATCGGGAAGTAGCTATAAAGAGAGATAATACCAGGCCTGATTGAGAAATTGACAGCCAGAACCTAAGGATGAGGAATAGAGGAAGTCCCTTGGAAGATCTAGGGGTGTAAAGGCTATTTCGTTGATATAATACACACTGGCCAAGAGAGATGGCCCAGCATCAAGATTGAAGCTCCTGGCAAAGGACGTGATCGTGCTCAGAAGTGTATGGTTAATGCCTGAAACAAAAAAAAGGCCTAGAACATGAGCCACAAGGACATTTGAAGTAGGAAAAGACTGTGGAATAGGCTGAGTAAAATATAATCATGTGAATCATTAACAAGGAAAATGCCTAATGAAAAGCAAGAAGGTCGTGCATGTTGATATAGAGTGAACTCTGGTCCAGTATCCAAACATCAAAAGTCTAGTCTTCATCAAAAATGTACTTCAATCAGTGAGAGAAATATTGAAGAAAAAAAGAGATCTGGTTTAGAGTTGGTAAGGGAATGCTGGAAACTATGTATGGGCAGGGTCCAGTCTTGAGAAGAGGATCACAAAGGATCCCAAGAAAGAAAACCTTGGG